CTCCTTTCTGTCTCTCCCTGGTTTCTCCTGCGTCTTCCCACCTCTCCCCTGTTGCGTTCCCGTGTTTCTCACGCCCTGTGTCACGGCCTCCTCTGTCTTCTCCTCCCGCTCTGTCTGTTTCCCGCCAGGGCCGGGGGTGCCCGACCCGCATCCTTGGGCCACCCTGAGACCCTGAGTCCCGCAGGCGGCCCCGAAGCTGGGGTGGCTTCCCCAAGGTGTCTCTGCTCGAGGCCGTTCTCTGCCAAAGAGGGAGCGTGGCAGCCCGGGGAGCCCAGAAGGGCCCTGGACCCACGGGGACCGGGCGTGGTGGGCGGACCCCACCCCCGCGTCCCCAACGGGACAAGCCTGGGGACCCCAGGGCCTCCATGTCCCCGGCGGGACGGACACCCCGGGCCGCCTCGGGCAGCGCGCGCCTCCCGCCCCCTGCCCGGCCTCGCTGGGTTCCCGGGACCCGCTCACAGACGAAGCCCTCGTGCTCATCCCTGACTCGGGGGCGGCCTTGGGAGTCCGGACGCTCCCCTCTCGCTGCCTCTCGGTCTGGGCTTCTGTGGAGCGCATCTTCCTGTCCCTGCTCTCTCCATCTCCATGTGCCTCCGTTTCCCCATGCGTAAACTCCCTCAGCTCGTCTGCTACTGCCTCCCTCCACGTAGATCCCGGGAATCCGAGGGTCCCTCAAAGACCGGAATGCCGCGGCCGGCACGGAGGGCGCCCGGAGACCCCTCCACCTAGTCCCGACCCCTGGACGGCGGCGCTCCTCCCGCTCGCAGGGGGCGCTGTGGGGCGGAGCGGCTGCCGCGACCCGGCGCCGAGTCCCAGCGTGCACCGCGCCTGGCCGGCGCTTCGATTGGGGACCGTCTGGGCCGTCCCTCGGAGTCGGGTTGGGACGGAGTGGAAGGGGAGTCCGTGCGCGGTGGGGCTGGTTCCCGCGGAGCTGCCGAGGACGCTCAGCGTTGCCAGGGCCGGGCGGGACGGCGGGGGCCATGGCGGAGCCGCCTCGGGTAAGCGGGCTGGCCTGTGTGGACGCCCGGTTTCGGGGTTGGGGTGGGTCCTCGGGTTCCGGGCTAGCCAGTGTCCTGGGGGCCCCGTGGGCGGCCGCGGTGCACGGCTAGGACCGAGTCTGCAGGCCGCTTCGTTTGGGGGTGTGGAGTCCGGGCCCTGCGGGGAGCTGGTGGCTTCCGCTCCCGGGGCTTGTCTGTTGCCAAACCCCTGGCAAAGCCGAGCGTGGACCGAGGCCCACCAAGGAACGGGGAGGAGCCTGGGCGAGGCTGGCAGATGGTGGAAAGGATAAAAGCTCTGAGGCCAGAGGTGGATGTTACCTGTCAACCAGTTTTACATCATAGTCATCGAAGTCAGAACGGCTGTTCCAAAAGATTTTAGATTCCGAGTGGTTGAAATGGTATTTGACGGGGGCTTCAGTGTCAGAATGTATTTTCCAAGGTGGTTTGTGTTGAATGTAAGATGATACATGAGAAGGAATAGAAGAGGATACAAAAATTTAAGTTAGTGGTTTCTTAAAATCGAAGTTTAGAGGATATTTTTATCTTGTAAACTTTTCTGTTGAGGATTTTTGCTGATTATTAAATGAATTAGGCCGGGCGTGGTGGCTCACGCCTGTAATCCCAGCACTTTGGGAGGCCGAGGCAGGTTGATCACTTGAGGTCAGGAGTTCAAGACAAGCCTGGCCAAAATGGTGAAACCCCCGAGTCTACTAAAAATACAAAAATTAGCTGGGCGTGGCAGCTCACGCTTGTAATCCCAGCTATTTGGGAGGCTGAGGCAGGAGAATCGCTTGAACCCGGGAGGCAGAGGTTGCAGTGAGCCGAGATCGCCCCATTGCATTCCAGCCTGGACAACAAGAGTGAGACTCCATCTCAAAATATATAAATAACAAGAGTGAGACTCCGTCTCAAAATAAATGAATGAATGAATGAATGAGTGGCCGGGGTTGGTGGTTCAGTCCTGTAATCCCAGCGCTTTGGGATGCGGAGGCAGGTGAATCACCTGAGGTCAGGAGTTGGAGACCAGACTGGCCAATATGGCAAAACCCTGTCTCTACTAAAAATACAGAAATTAGCCAGGCATGATGGTACGTGCCTGTAATCCCAGCTATTAGAGGGGCAGAGACAGGAGGATAGCTTGAACCTGGGAGGCGGAGGTTTCAGTGAGCCGAGATTATGCTATTGCACTCCAGCCTGGGCAATAGAGTAAGACTCCATCTCAAAAGAAAGAAAAGAAAAAGACGGCCATACGCGTTGGCTCACGCCTAATAATCCCAGCACTTTGGGAGGCCAAGGTGGGTGGATCACGAGGTCAATAGATCGAGGCCATCCTGGTCAACATGGTGAAACCCCGTCTCTACTAAAAATACAAAAATTAGCTGGGCATGGTGGCGCACGCCTGTAGTCCCAGCTACTTGGGAGGCTGAGGCAGGACAATTGCTTGAACCCAGGAGGTGGAGGTTGCAATGGGCCAAGATTGCGCCATTGCACTCCAGCCTGGGTAGCAAGAGCAAAACTCCGTTTCAAAAAAAAAAAGAAGAAAAGAAAAAGAGTACATGCATACATACATAAGCATATTAATGTGCTAAGGGGAAGATATGGACCCGATCCTTCCATAGACTCTAGGAATTAGAGCTTTTCAGAGAGAACCTGGCCTTGCTGGCACCTTGATTTCAGACTCTGGTCAACAAAATTATAAGAGAACACATTTTTATTACGTTAAGCCACCCAGTTTGTGGTACTTAGATACAGCAGTCCTAGGAAACTAATACAAAGACCTCAAAAACCAACTTGGGACCACTGACTTTTCCATTTGAGGGGTAAGAAAAAACATAAATTGCTATTGTATACCATTAAAAAAAATACATGCTAGATGAATTAAAAATCTAAACATAAAAGAACTTGAGATGTTCAGGCAAGAGCATCTGTGATTTCAGCATAGAAAAGAATTTAAGACTCAAAAAGTAAAGAGACCTAAGAAAATATTGTTATGTTTGCATTAAAATTGAAAACTTCTGTATAAGATAGCATAAACAAAAATTTAAAGCAAGCCACAGGCAAGGGCAAAGTATTTAATTACATAGTCAATAATCAATATGTAAGTTATATAAGGAAATACAACAAATGAAAGGATAAGTAACCCAATACAAATGTGGGGATAAGGCCGGGCACGGTGGCTCACGCCTGTAATTCTAACAATTTGGGAGGCCTAGATGGGTGGACCACCTGAGGTCAGGAGTTCGACAGCCTGGCCAACATGGTGAAACCCCATCTCTGCTAAAAATACAAAAAGTAGCCAGGCATGGTGTCAGGCTCCTATAATTTGAGCTACCTGAGAGACTCAGGCAGGAGAATCGCTTGAACTGGGGAGACAGAGGCTGTAGTGAGCCGAGATCAAGCCATTGTACTCCAGCCTGTATATATAGTTATTTTTTGGAGGTGAAGTTTCGCGCGCGCGCGCACACACACACACACACACACACACACACTATATATATATATAGTGTGTGTGTGTGTGTGTGTGTGTGTGTAAAGGATATAAATAGCGAAATTATAGACCTGAAAAGAAATGATTAATGAATAAAAGAATGGATTTAAAACTGGTGACATTCAGGCCAGGCACAGTGGCTTACTCCTGTAATCCCAGCACTTTGAGAGGCCAAGGCAGGCATATCACCTGAGGCCAGGAGTTTGAGACCAACCTGACTAATATGGTGAAACCCTGCCTCTACTAAAATACAAAAATATTTAGACAAGTGTGGCTGCATGAACCTCTAGTCCTAGCTACTTGGAAGGCTGAGACAGGAGAACTGCTGGAAGCCGGGAAGTGGAGGTTGCAGTGAGCCGAGATTGTGCCACTGCACTGCAGCCTGGATGACACAGCGAGACTCTGTCTCAAAACCAAACAAACAAACTTGTAACATTCAGACAGTGGAACACTATACAAAATTAAAATAAATTAGCTCTATATATAATCAACAGGGACAGATCTCAAAATGTTGATTTTGAGGGAAGACTACAAGTTGCAGTATAATAAAGTATTTATGTATAAAAGACACAAAGTAATATTATTTATCGATACGTATGTATATTAAAATGAAGTGAAAAGTGCACATATTAATGATAATGTTTGCCTTTACAAAGGAAGGAGAATGTGACAATATCAGAAAGTGATTGAAGAGAGGAACCACAGGAACTTGAGTTTCATCCGTTCCATTCTATTTCATTAAAAGGAACTCTGAAGAAAAATGTTAAACTTGCTAAATCAGTGGTGACTACTAGGATGCTTGTTATAGTTTTCTCTGAAACTTTCTGGATCTTTAAACTTCTAAAAAAATTTTTAAAAAGCATTTTAAGGCTAAGGAATTTTAATCAGAGAAGAGGAGAGAATGGGTTCTTTAACACCGAAGTTTAAACATACATTCAGTTCTGCAATAATACTGCATCTGCATTTCCAAAAATCGTAGTACTATGCAAAATTGTGCAGTAAAAACCACAGAGCTTATTGGGCGAAATGTTAGGCAAGCAGTAATCAAACTTTCATCTGTGAACTGTTAACAAGAAAGGATTAGAACCTAAAAGCAGTTTTATGCACTTTGATGATCAATAACTAATCTTTTTTTTTTTTTTTTTTTTTTGTTTGTTTTGAGACGGAGTTTCGCTCTTGTTACCCAGGCTGGAGTGCAATGGCGCGATCTCGGCTCACCGCAACCTCCGCCTCCTGGGTTCAGGCAATTCTCCTGCCTCAGCCTCCTGAGTAGCTGGGATTACAGGCACGCACCACCATGCCCAGCTGATTTTTTGTAGTTTTAGTAGAGATGGGGTTTCACCGTGTTGACCAGGATGGTCTCGATCTCTTGACCTCGTGATCCACCCGCCTCGGCCTCCCAAAGTGCTGGGATTACAGGCGTGAGCCGCCGCGCCCGGCTGATCAATAACTAATCTTAATTGCCTTAAAAACTGAAATAAGCCTGGGCAGTCCAGGTGCAGTGGCACACGCCTGTAATCCCAACACTTTGGGAGGCCAAGGGGGGCAAATTACCTGAGATCAGGAGTTCAAGACCAGCCTGGCCAACATGGTAAAACCCTGTCTCTACTACAAATACAAAAAATAGCCAAGCATGGTGATGGGCACCTGTAATCCCAGCTGCTTGGGATGCTGAGGCAGGAGAATCACTTAACCTCGGAGGCAGAGGTTACAGTGAGCTGAGATCACACCACTGTACTCCAGCTTGGGTGACAGAGCAAGACTCAGTCACACACACACACACACACACACACACACCCCAAAAATACCCTGGGCAACATGGTGAGACCCCTCTCTACAGAAAATTAGCCAGGCGTGGTGGCATATCCCTGTGGTCTCAGCTACTCGGGAGGCTAAGGCAAGAGAATCACTTGAGCCCAGGAGATCAAAGTTACGGCAAGCTGTATTGGCACCACTGCACTCTGGCTGGGGCAACAGAGTGAGACCCCCCCATCTCAAAAAAAAACCCTAAAAGAACTACCTGAAATGTGCTTGTGGAAGTGGGTATAACAAATGTTGCAATTAAGCTATTGTGAAGTGGTGAAAGGAAGGGTATCTGAATGAGATGGAAAGTTGTGACCCCAGAGGTGGATAGGCAGGGGTCATAACACAGGGTAATCTGATGTTTGAAATGTGTTGCATGTGTGCATTTTACGTATGTCTAGGCAGCTCAGTTCTGTTTGTTCACATAGTTCACAAAGTTTCTCACCCTTGCCACTACTAACATCCTGTGCTGGATAATTTTCTGTTTTGAGGGCTGTCCTGTGCATTGTAGGATGTTTACCAGTATTCTTAGCTGCTCCTCACTAGATGCCAGTAGGTCCCCCCCCATTATAACAATAAAAAATGTCTCCGGGGACAAAATTGTTCTGATTGAGAACCACTAATCTAGTGTTTCTTATAGACAAAATTGCACATGAGCAAATGCAAAATTTTGTAATATATTGTCTCCTAATACAGCAATCATGTTGAAACAAATTCACATTTCAAAACAAGCATTATAGCAGAAGTGACTATGTTTCATTAAACTTAAAATAATGAATTTGATTTAAGTGTTGCTACATCTGCAGTTTGGATATTTGTCCCCAAACCTTGTGTCAAAATTGGATCTGCAGTGTTGAAAGTGGGCCCTAATGGAAGGTGTTTAGGTCATGGGGGGTGGATCCTACATGAATGTCTTGGTGCTATCCTCTGTTAGTTCCTGAGGGAGCGGGTTAAAAAGAGCCTGATACATCCACTCCTCAGTCTCACTGTCCTGCTTCCTCTCGCCGTGTGATGATTTCTGCACGTGCGAGCTCTTTTTTTTTTGAGATGGAGTCTTGCTTTGTTGCCCAGGCTGGAATGCAATGGCGTGATCTCAGCTCACTGCAGCCTCCACCTCTTGGGTTCAAGTGATTCTCCTGTCTCAACCTCCTGAGTAGCTGGGATTACAGGCCCCTGCCACCAGCCTGACTAATTTTTGTATTTTTAGTAGAGACAGGATTTTACCATGTTGGCCAGGCTAGTCTTGAACTCCTGACAGATGATCTACCCATCTTGGCCTCCTATAGTGCTGAGGTTACAGGTGTGAGCCGCTGGGCCCGGCCCCCTTCACCTTCCACCATGAACAGAAGCAATCTGAGACCTTCGCTGGTGCTATGCTGCTTGTACAGCCTGCAGAACTGTGACCCAAATAAACCTCTTTTCTTTAAAATTTACCCCACCTTGGTGTTCCTTTATAGCAATACTAAACACACTAAAACAAATATAGAGGAGTCATTCGAGTTTTTAAAACAACTCTAAATTTCACAGTGAATATAACAAAAAGATGGGAAGTCCTAGCAAGAGCAATCCAGCAAGAGAAAGAAAGAAAAGGCATCCAAATAGAAATAGAGGAAGTCGTAGTAAAACCCCATGATGTGCCCAGATGCTCCTTGATCTGATAAACAACTTCAGCAAAGTCTGAGAATACAAAATCAGTGTACAAAAATCAGTAGCATTACAATACACCAACAACATCCAAGCTGAAAGCCAAATCAAGAATACAGTTCCAATCACAGTAGACACAAAAAGACTAAAATGCCTAGCAATACAGCTAACCAAGGAGGTGAAAGATCTTTACAACAAGAATTACAAAACACTACTCAAAGAAATCAGAGATAACACAAAGAAAGGGAAAAATACTTCATGCTCATGGACAGGAAGAATCAATATTGTTAAAATGGCCATACTGCCCAAAGCAGTTTCCAGATTAATTGCCATTCCTCTCAAACTACCAATGACAATTAGGAAAAAAACTATGTTTTTTGTCTCTTTCTTTCTTTCTTTCTCTTTTTCTTTCTTTCCTTTCTTTTTCTTTCCTTTCTTTCTTTCTCTTTCCTTTCTCTTTCTCTCTTTCTTTCTTTTTTTTTTTTTTTTTAGATGGAGCTTTGCTCTTGTTGCCCAGGCTGGAGTGCAGTGGTGCGATGTTGGCCCACTGCAACCTTTGCCTCCTGGGTTCAAGCAATTCTCCTGCCTCAGCTTCCTGAGTAACTGGGATTACAGGCATGCACCACCATGCCCAATAATTTTTGTATTTTTAGCAGAGCTAGGCTTTCTCTATGTTGGCCAGGCTGGTCTCAAACTTCTGACCTCAGGTGATCTGCCCGCCTTGCTCTCCCAAAGTGCTGGGATTACAGGTGTGAACCACTGTGTCCAGCTGTTGTTTGTCTATTTTTGAGGCAGGGTTTTGCTGTGTCGCCCAGGCTGGAGTGTAGAGGCACACTGCAACCTCTGTCTCCCAGACTCAAGCAGTTCAACCACCTCAACCTCTCAGGTAGCTAGGACTACAGGCATGTGCCAACATGCCCTGCTAACTTTTCTGGATTTTGTTATTGTTTTGGTAGAGATGAGGTTTAGCTCTGTTGCCCAGACTGGTCTCAAACTCCTGGGCTCAAGCAATTAATCTACCTTGGCCTCCCAAATTACTGGGATTACAGGTGTGAGCTAGTGTCTGGCTGAAAAAAACTTTAAAAATTCATATGTAAAAAATAAAATTCATGTGTAACCAAAAAAAGAGCCCAAATAGCAAAGGCAGTCCTAGGCAAAATGAACAAAGCTGGAGACATCACACTACCCAATTTCAAACTATACTACAAGGCTACAGTAACCAAAACAGCATGGTACTGGTACAAAAACAGACATATAGACCAATGGAACAGAATAGGGAGTCCAGAAATAATGCCACACACCTACGGTCACCTGATCTTCTACAAAGTCAACAAAAGCAGTGGGAAAAGGACTGCCTATTTAACAAATGGTGATGGGATAACTGGCTAGCCATATGCAGAAGACTGACACTGTGCCCATTCCTTATACCATATACAAAAATCAAGTCAACATAGATTAAAGACTTAAATGTAAAACCTAAAACTATACAAACCCTGGAAGATAACGTAGGAAATAGCATTCTGGACATAGGCCCTGGCAAAGATTTTGTGATGAAGACTCCAAAAGCAATTGCAATGAAAACAAAATTGACACATGGGACCTAATTAAACTAATTAGCTTCTACACAGGAAAAGAAGCTATCAGCAGAGTAAACAGGCCCTACAGAATGGGTTATCTGCAAACCATGCATCTGACAAAGGTCAAATATCTAGAATCTACATGGAACTTAAATTTACAAGCAAAAAACAACTGATTAAAAAGTGGGCAAAGGACATGAACAGACACCTCTCAAAAGAAGACATACACATGGCCAACAAGCATATGAAAAAATGCTCAGCAGCACTAACCATTTGAGAAATACAAATCAGAACCAAAATGACAAAGCTACAATGAGGTACCATCTCATATCAGTCAGAATGGGTACTATTAAAAAGTTTAAAAAACAGAAAAGCAAAAAACCAGATGCTGGCAAGGTTACAGAGAAAAGAGAACACATACACTGCTGGTAAGAATGAAAATTAGTTCAGCCTTTGTGGAAAGCAGTTTGGTGATTTCTTAAAGCAGAATTAACTTTTTTTTTTTTTTGAGATGGAGTCTCACTCTATCGTCCAGGCTGGAGTGCAGTGATGCATCCTGGCTCACTGCAACCTCTGCCTCCTGGGCTTGAGCGATTCTCCTGCCTCAGCCTCCCAAATAGCTGGGATTATAGGCGCCCGTCACCACACCCGGCTAATTTTTGTATTTTTAGTAGAGACAGGGTTTTGTCATGTTGGCCAGGCTGGTCTCAAACTCCTGACCTCAGGTGATCTGCCTGCCTCTGCTGCCCAAAGTGCTGGGATTACAGGCATGAGCCACTGCAACTGGCCATAATTGCCATTTGAGCCTGCAATCCCATTATACCCAAAGGAATATATACCCAAAGGAATACAAATTGTTCTGCATATAGACACATGTATGCATATGTTCATTGCAGCACTATTCACAATAGCAAAGATGTGGAATCAACCTAAATGCCCATCAATGGTAGACTGGATAAAGAAAGTGTACATATGCACCATGGAATGCTGTGCAGCCATCAAAGAAAATCATATCCTTTGCATAACAATGGATGGAGCTGGGGGCCATTATCCTAAGTGAAGTAATGCAGGAAAAATAGTATCACATGTTCTCATAAGGGGGAGCTAAACACTGAGAACATATGGATACAAAGCAGGAAATAACAATGGGGCCTACTTGAAGGTGGAGGTTGGGAGGAAGATGAGGACTGAAAAATTACTTAATGGTTCTATGCTTATTACCTGGGTGATGAAACAATCTGCACACCAAACCCCCACAGCAAGTAATTTGCCTATATAGCAAACCTGCACATGTACTCCTGAACCTAAAATTAAAAAAAAAAAAATTTTTTTTTGGCCGGGCCTGGTGGCTCACGCCTGTAATCCTAGCATTTTGGGAGGCCAAGGCAAGTGGATCTCCTGAGGTCAGGAGTTTGAGACCAGCCTGGCCAATGTGGTGAAACCCCATCTCTACTAAAAATACAAAAATTAGTTGGGCATGGTGGTGGGTATCTATAATCCTAGTTACTCAGGAGGCTGAGGCAGGAGAGTTGCTTGAATCCAGCAGGAGAAGGTTGCAGTGAGCCAACATCGTGCTGCTTTAGTCTGGGCAAAACAGCAAAACTCCATCTCAAAAAAAATTAAATAAAAGATGAAGAGGCTAAGCATGGTGGCTCACATCTGTAATCTCAGCACTTTGGGAGGCCAAGGTGGATGGATCACTTGAGGTCAGGAGTTGGAGACCAGTCTGGCCAACATGGCGAAACCCCATCTCTGCTAAAAATACAAAAAAAAAAAAAAAAAGGTGGTGGCGCACACAGGTAGTCCCAGCTACTTAGGAGGCTGAGGCAGGAGAATTGGGAAGCAGAGGATGCAGTGAGTTAAGATCACACCACTGCACTTCAGCCTCGACAACAGAGTGAGACTGTCTCAAAATAAAATTAAATAAATAAAAATAAAAATTAGGCTGGGTGTGGTGACTCACGCCTGTAATTCCAGCACTTTGGGAGGCTGAGGTGGGCAGATCACAAGGTCAGGAGACCGAGGCCATCCTGACCAACATGATGAAACCCTGTCTCTACTAAAAATACAAAAATTAGCTGGGTGTGGTGACGCATGCCTATAATCCTAGCTATTCAGGAGGCTGAGGCAGGGAGAATAGCTTGAACCAAGGAGCTGGAGGTTGCAGTGAGCCGACCCGAGATCCGACCACTGCACTCCAGCCTGGCGACAGAGCCAGACTCCATCTCAAAAATAAAGTTGAAACAAGATTAATACCCATAGAAAATAAGGACATACAGCAATAATAGTTGCAGTTCAATAAAAAGTGGGATGTATGCTTATGTAATTAGAGTATTTTAAACAAATATATAATTTACGTACTCCTACTTGTGAACCTTAGGAAGTGTCCATTTATCTAAGTCAACTATAATAAACATAAATATTAAACAATACTAACAAATTTGCGCGTGTTGCATTTTTTCTAATGCAGTTTTTAGAAAAGCAATAAAATTCAAAACCAATTGCTGGTAACTCCTTAGTCTTCTGCTTCTCAGGGAGGCCTCAGGAAACTTAAACAATCGTGGCAGAAGGTGAAGGGGAAGCAGGTATCGTCTTCACATGGCTGGAGCAGGAGAAAGAGAGAGAGAGAGAGTGAAGGGGGAAGTGCTACACTTTTAAACAAGCAGATCTCATAAGAACTCACTATCCTGAGAACAGCAAGAGGGAAGTCCACCCCCCATGATTGAGTTGCCTCCCACCAGGCCCCTCCTCTAATCCTGGGGATTACAATTAAATAGGAGATTTGGGCGGGGACACACAGCCAAACCATATCAAGTGTATGCCTAGATATTTTATTGTTTTTCCAGCCATTGTAAAAGGTACTGAGTTCTCGATTTCTCAGCTTGGTCGTTGTTGGTGTATGGAAGTGCTACTGATTTATATACATTTTTTTAATAACCTGAGACTTTCCTGAATTTGTCAAATCTAAGAGAGTCTTTTGGAGGAGTCTTTAGGGTTTTCTCTTGCCTGATTGCTCTGGCTAGGATTTCCAACCTCACATATTAATGTAAATTAACACACTGAAATACAATTTGCCGCCCCACATTGGCAAAAAAATAAGGTTTAAGAACATCTTGTGCTGGCAAAGGTGTAAAAAAAAAAACAAGAAGTCTCATGTTAATAGCAAGGGTAAATGTGTAAATTGTCTTTTTGGAAGACAATCTAATGTTATCTATTAAAACTGAAGATGTGTATACGCTTTGATTTAGTAGTTATCCTTTTTTTTTTTAGACAGAGTCTCACTCTGTCTCCCAGGCTGGTGTGCAGTGGCACGATCTCAGCTCACTGCAACCTCTGCCTCCCAGTTCAAGCAATTCTCCTGCCTCAGCATCCCAAATAGCTGGGATTACAGGTGTCTGCCACCATGCCTAACTAATTTTTGCATTTTTAGTAGAAACAGAGTTTCACCATGTTGGCCAGGATGGTCTTGATCTCCTGATCTTGTGATCCACCTGTCTTGGACTCCCAAAGTGCTGGAATTACAGGCATGAGCCACCGCACCCAGCTAGTAGTTCACCTTTTTAGACTTAACCTGCAGAAGTAAAAGCACTGATAGATAGGAGGTACGTGAGAACACTGTATTTTATAAGTGAAACAAACAGTATGTGTCCCATCAGTGGGGTATATCTACTCATGGAATATTAATGCAACTTTACCAAACAAATAAGTTTGCCTCAATATATATTATTGACCTAGAAAGATATCTGTGACATATTAAGTGAATGAAGCTACAAAGTGATTTGTTCCCATTTTTGTAAAAAAAAATTCCATACTTTACATATGTACATATACTTTGAACAAACATAATGAAACATGGAGGGGGCCGTGTAGTGGTTAACAGCAGAATGATGTGATTGGAGTTTGGGAAGGAGTAGTTCTCTGGGAAGAAGCTGCTGAACAACGAAAAACAGTTGTCCACTGCAGAAGTCTTTTAAATTAACAAGGAGAAGGAGCTGGATTCATTTTGAAGCAATCATGAAAGCGTATGTCTTATGTCTACAATTTCAGCTACCTCTGACTTTTGAGGATGTTGCCATTTATTTCTCGGAGCAAGAATGGCAGGATCTACAGGCGTGGCAGAAGGAGATTTACAAGCATGTGATGAGAAGCAATTATGAGACTCTCCGCTCTCTAGGTAAGGCCTGTTCACCTTTGTGGGTAGAGCATGGAACTGGATCCTGTAAGGGGTCACAGTCACTTGGTGCTCCTGTTTTTTGGGTAGCAAGATTTCTCCAAAGGACATTTTTACTCTGTAATCTTTTGTTAATACTTTTGTCAACATTGTTAATCCTTACTCAAGGGTAGAGGTTGTTGTGTGAGAATATTTGAGCAGTGTAAGGTGATGGGGTGACTAAATATTATATATGAGGGGCCTTTAGTCATGACTTACTGTCAGGATGCCATGATCGTCCACATAGGAGCACACCTAGCACACATTCTTGAAGTGCCCTGTATGTCTTTAACCTAGGATATCCCTACCTCACAACTTTTACAGTGGGGTCTAAATACTTCAGAAAACTTATTTTGGAAGGCTGTACAAGGAAGTGTTTTAAGAGTAGCTGTCTCTGCCTGGTTATGGTATTGGATGTTCTTTTTGCTTATTTGGTTTTTATATTTCTTTTTATTTATCAAATATAATTTAAAAAAAAATCAGTCTGTTCAGAGAAGCATCAAGCGAAAGATCAGTCTCCTGCTTCATTCTTACCGCCACATTCAGTTAACTACCTGAAGGCAATCACTTTTAACCATTTTTGTTTGTTTTTCTTTTTTTTTTCTTTTTGAGATGGGGTTTCACCATGTTGGTCAGGCTGGTCTTGAACTCCCGACCTCAGGTGATCCGCCCACCTTGGCCTTCAAAGTGCTTGGATTACAGGCGTGAGCCACCATGCCCGGCCTTCTTATTTTTTCTTTTTTTTTTTTTCTTTTTTGCCATTTTTGTTTGTTTTTAAAGTGGCTTCCTCCAATCTAAATATGCTTATACTAACTATCTTGATTTATTGAGTTTAGAAAGCATTAATTACTATCAAAAATGAAGCATTAGCTCAGCTATACACTCTTCTGTCTTCTTCTCCCCAGTTTTTGATAGTTTTCTGTGCCTCTGTTGGTAAGCTTTGTAATTTAAAATAATATGTTTAAGATTCT